TATCGGGAATGTATCGGGAGAAGGTTCCAGGTGGGATATCCGTTGATCGAATGCTAAGTAAGTTCGGGGTAGGTGTTTAAAATGGATCGTGCAAGGTGAGGAGATGGAAGAGGGTGCTGCTAGGTGCTGAGGAGGATGAGTTCGGGGGTGGTTGGAGTTTCTGGTTCGACAGGTGAGAGTGTCTTTTTTGATTTTGTGATGTGAGATGTGGGTAGGTTTAGATGGGAATGTACGAGGGTGGAGAATTGGGGAATTGATTATGATCTTGCTGATTATTGGAACGACAATTGCGTTCGATTGATGCTTTCGAGTGAATTCTGGAGGTTTGAATTTAAACTGTTTGCATGACGCGGAGGATCTAGGAGAATTGATGTAAGGGAGAATATGTGATGTTTGGGTGTTTGGTTGAAGACGGGTGAATTAGCGTGGATAGTATATTATCAAAAAATTTGGACTCGAGTGGAATCGGAGGCATTCTTGTGGTTTAGCGAGATTGGACATTGTTGTGGAGATCGTAGAATTTGAGGGTGGACAGAATTTAGTTGTATGGAAAACTGTCTGAACGGAATTTGGTGGAAATGTTTGTGAGAATATAAACGCAAAAATAACGTTCGTGAAAATTATAATACACCTTTGCTGGCAATTCATCTCGCAATATACTTTTAACGAGATTAAAATATCAATCATAGTGCATTTAAAAACCTCATCGTTTTTTCGATCTAAAAATTACGATGACAATAAAACTATTTCAAATTACTCTTCACTATATCTGAACAAAATTTATTCTTAGAACTTAAGATCAGGTGGCTGTTATCACAACAAACGTCCAAAAATTTATAAATATGGATATTGATTACAAAGTATTGCAATTTTACTTCTGGACTTAGAGTAATAGATATACCAAAAGGAATTTATTTCTCTTGTGAGAAAAGGCCACTATTCGTAGCCATCTAGCGGTTGGCACTTGAAAACACCCTAACCATCACTATTATCGTGACCATGGTAGACCATACAGACCTTTTCATTTATACCTCGTCAGGTACCAACCACATTCTTTGCAAAGGATAAATTAAAATTCATCACCATCTAGTTATAATACTAATAAATTAAGAAGTCTTTGCTTATATTTACCGATAGCCTCACGTTTCAAATATATTTCCTATGTACATACATAATATTTCAAAATTGACTTTCCTGTAACAGCATAAATATTCCAATACCTCTATATCTCACTACGTACACAGCGAATATTTTGTTCCAAATGTAATCTACAATGACGAACCTTTCACACCGAAAACTATTCCCTTCTCGCACAGATTACTCAAAAAGAGAATAACTTAAAACATTATTCATGAAATGTCATAATTTCCTTTTACACGTTTACTTGAAATACGAAAATACGAAAAATATATACGTAAAGCTATAAATTGATTTAACATTTTCTGCAGAAAAATGTCTCGAAGATATCCTTCCTTCCACTCTGCGAAAACGAAAACTCTTTCCATTTTCGTCCAATTATAATTGATTTATTACATAGTCCTCATTACGATTCGTTACAATAACCGAGAACCGATAAGGTGCATAAAATCTAGTAAATACAAGGTATCTAAATATTTTCTATCCGATGATTCAGTTTCTAAAGGATCATGGAAGAATGAAACCTTATTCCTTTGGACAGAGATCCTCGTGATCGATCTGTGATTAAATCTCAGTACATCTCTTGAAACCTTCATCATTTCCTTCGATCAACTGCTAAGAAATTATTTCCAAACACTGTGATATCCAATTAATAAAACGAAATCACGGAAAGCGAAATTTTCTCAAATTCTTTTACTCTTCATCGATCCATCGCGTAGCAAAATAATTTCACAACCGAAAACCCGAATGAAAGAAAGAAACGCAACTTTAGAGTATCACGAAAGATACTTGGAAGCTTCGAAAAAGAAAAATGACATTTGATTTTGATTTATTCCCGTATCACCTGTTCAAACTCTGCACACGAAACTTCAGTAGGATTCAGATCAGATGTTCGTAAAGTTCGTATAGATTCGACTTTATTATAAAAGATCCATTTATTTCTAATTCGTGTACAACGTTCGTTGCAAACGAAAGTCAACTCCGAGTTCCAACCTACGCCTATTTGTTCTTAAATTTGGCTTTAACAAGTCACGAAGTAAACTACTGCACCTTCGATAAAACACAAATTAGAATTAACAGTTAATTGCAAACTGTTTTTATCCCTTTCACAATTTTCTTATCATCCAATTTCTATCACACGAATTACACGTTAAAACTTCGGGAATTAAGCTCTGTAAACACATAATTACCCATATTTCGCTCAAAATAATTCACACTTAGCTACGATTTTTCCGAAACCTTCCAAGGAAAGCCAACATACAGTTTTCTAAACTATCAAACCGATTGACTTCATATTTCACGTACTCTTTTATACATTTTAGATGCATCTATGCATACATCACGCGTTATAATCTGTCCCCGAATTTTTCCAATTCGCCACTTTACCTGATACGAAAAAGCGAACTTATGTCGTATACGAAATTTATGTTTTTATTTCAACCGTTTGAATCCTAGCTATAATTGAAGAAACATAGTCGAAGAATCCTGAACAGAGAAATATCGCTTGTCTTAGTTTCTGTTCGATAGAAATGATCGAGAGAGTATCGACGAAATACGAAGTGTATTACTTGTATGATTTACATGAAAGAAAGTAACGATGCGATAGTATCTACATGAGTTAATAAAGTTATTCGACGTTATTTTGACAGATTCCGAGTGCATCTTCAGTTGTCAAGCGTTAAAACGTAGAAAGTTTTCATGAAATTTAAACAGCGCGTTGCTGGGGGATGAAACTCTAAAATTGAAGATATTTTATTAATCTTTTATATTTCGAAAAATTCGTGGTTAATGCTCTAAGTACGATTATACTGTTACATGAGTTACTTTCATTCGAGAATTATTCGGTACTGGGATAACAACTTAAGAGGGTAAGACAGTTCGACTGATTGAAAAATTAGGGATACTTTGAAGAAACACCAGGCAAAAGTAAACGTTTGATGGATTAAGCTTCTGTGACTTGTTTCAACGTATTATGAGAGCTTTATAAAACGGTATTAAGTTTTTAAAGACAGTCACTTATTTAGCTTCGCGATGTCATCGTTCCGAGGTGATCTTCTTCAACGTGGTCTTTCAGGATGCGGGATTTCTGATAAACGGGATTAGTGATAAAAGAAAATCAAAATGGAATTGAGAGTATAATTTGTTCTGTAGGTATCGTGGTTCGAAGGTTTCAATTTTTTTGAGAATTAGCAAAATAGCAGTTACTTATAGTTGATCTATCGAATTTTTAAGAAAAGTTTTTATGCTTTTTGTTAATATCTTTTGAAATTGTTTATTTATTTTAGGAAAATCGAACATCAATGTCTAGTAAATGTTATGATAAAGATATCTGGAAAATTTCGTAATAATTGATAGATTGGGTCTTGAGATATCCTGCGTATCGTTTTTGGAAACATAGTTTCGAGGAAACTCGTTTTATGTTTCGGAACGTAATTTTTCAGATGTATCTTTAATTTTTCACTAATCGGTTTTTTCTAGCTTGTACATGTGACTATGTGTTTCGAGTTTGGTTTATTGTATGAGTGATAGACTGGATTTTCAAGCAATTCGACCGTTTTTTAGAGTTTTTAAGAGATCGTTTATTAGGTGTTTTAATCTTTTCATCGTGGAGAGTGTCGTATAGTACAGCAGCTATTGGTTCTATGATAATATTCATAGTGCTCGTAATTAATGAGACACTAGCAAAGAGTTTAATGAAGGTATTAGCAGGAATATGAACAATCTTCACATCTGTAATGGAGTTAAATAAACTTTTTAGAGCTAAACGATAAAGCGTATTAGCAAAATTTCGTTTTGATTTTGGGTTACTTTACCCAAAGCAGAGTGAAAGTTGACACGTATAATGTCGATTCTCGACTTTTCTGATATCACGGGACCTGTAGAATCGGCTACATATTGATAGACTGTCATGTTAAATTGTTATATATATGTGCTGATGCGTTACGGCAGACAAAATCTGCTTGTTTCAAAGGCTGGGACCTTCCGTATATTAACTTCAAGTCTTCAAACTACTACTTAAGAGATAAAAAAATCAAATTTTTAAAAATTTCAAACTCTCTTGCCCGCTCTTTGGATGAATTTTATAAAATTCAATTGACATTTGAAGTTTCTAAAGAAGCTATGCACTGTAACAGCTTTCTGCAAAAATTATAATATGGATATTCATAAAAGTATTGCATATGAAATTTTCCCTTACTTTGGTTATAAAATTGTGTCCGTAGAATTCTCAAGCGAGAAATGTTTTATCCTTATAGCCATCTGGTGGAAACGGCTTGTACTATGCAATATACACATTTTTACATTATAGATAATTTATCAAAATTTTATCTATTGAAAACATTATCAATTGTAATTCCTAGTATTGTATGCATATATATATTTAATGATATAATAAATCGAAATAAATAGATAATTGCTATGAAAAAGTAAATGGTAAAGAGATGTTTTTTCAAAACAAAATATTTTTCAAGCATATTTATTAATGGGGTGAAATTTATAAAAAAAAGAATTCTGAATCAAAGAAAAAAAAATTTTTATTAATATTAAGATCATTAACATCTTTTAAATAAAACATATTTATTGATAGGGTGTAATTTATGGAAAAGAAAATTCAATATATACATAGCACATATTTATTACGTGTTATATTTATTATATACATAACACGTGTTTATTATAAAGTTTAAAATATTTAATCAAATTCTTTGACAGATAGTAAACAGCATTGTAAATTGAAAAATAAGAATTAAATAGTGGTAACCATAAATAGATAAATTAATCTATAATTAGTATTACACTATTCATTTTTCCTTTTTAAATATACACTGTAACTTATTAAAATATAGTTAATATTATGTACTCGTTTATTCTGGTCCTAAAATATCAACATTTGCTGTTGTATCTTGAACATTACTATGAGCTATCATGTACTCAGAGACTGATATGTATATACCAACTAGTAATCCAATTACACTTGCTATATAAACATTTCGTTGAAAAATAATACATGTAGCTATACAAAGACCAAAATATGTAGCATATCGTGCAATATTTTCTTGTTGTTTACGGCCCAAAAGATCAGAATCTATAACAAATAATTTTATGTTACAGTAAAATAAACATTACTATTAATATTACTATCATTATTAAAATATCGCATAAATTTTATTTTATACTTATTATAAAACTTACTTAAACACAAATTATCCTTCTTATGGAATCCTTCTGCACATTTTATACACATATCTGGCCCATCTCCAGTACAACCATTACAAGCCTTGTCACAACCTAAATTATATTAAGAAGTTAAGTCTCAAATCTATACATACTTGTAATATATTCTTTATAAACTTACTTAAACATGTGTACCCTCCTTCCTTGTTGATACAAAATTGATTTCCAGGACAATATTCATCATTCTTTACACATTCATCAATATCAATGCATCCTTCTTCATCTATCATGTTCCATCCTTTCATACATTTTTCACAATTTTTTGGACCTGGTCCTTTACAAGGACCATCACAAGCAGCATGACATTGAGAACAAAGTAGTTTATTTTCATCTTTATAAGATTCATAATATCCAGTTGCACATTCCGAACAATTATCTTCCTTATAGCCTTTATCACACAAACATTTACCATTTCCTTTTCTAGTGCCTGCTCCTTTACATTTACCATTATTATTACAAATTTTATCTGGAAAACCAGGACATGGTGTGCACTGTGGACCAAAATGATCTTTAGGGCAACAACGTTCTGTCTGTTGAATGCAAATGTATTCATAGATATCTGGATGTATTTGTTGATGATTGAACCACCAATCTTCTATTTTATTTTCTAATTCTTCAGCTAAAGTATGACATTGTGTTTCTCCACGATCTAGTTCTTTACATAAATGTTCTTGTATTTCTATTAATCTAGTTTCACTTTTTGAATATGAGCCTAATTTATCTTCTTCCCATGCACTATCACCACCATCGAATTTTTCACGACTAGTCCTTTCTACACCCTATATAACAAAATTCTTTATATACTTAAAAAAAATATACACCTATTTATATATATTTTTAAAAATGTTATTTTTCATTTATAATTTTTTTAACTTAAAATATATAATGAACTTACCTTTTTAAAGCTATTTATTAAAATTTTACAAGCTGCACATGGAGGAAACTTTTGAGCTTTGAGTTCTTCATTTGAAGGAGTTTTGTTACATTTTACAGAAGCAGACATATAAAGTAAAATAAATAAGCTTAACAAAAGAAAATAGATAACATTGGTTTTTCGCATTATACTACTCAAACGTACCGGTCACTGTTCTATGTATATCAGCATTTACTTAAAAACTAATAAATAACTATTAAATACAAAAACACAAAATTTTTACAATTTATTGAATAATATGTTACAAAAGATCATTATATTATCAAATATTTAAATTATAGTCAATGTATAACTGACTTGGTTATTCTGAATTTTTCAGATTAACAATTACACGTCAAATGGTACAACGTACTGTACAACTGAACATGCGCGTTTCAATCAATATAAAAGTGATGTGTTGATTCTCCCAATTGTTTCAATAAAATATGTATTTGATAGATAATATTATTTTAATATAATAATATCTTATCTTTTAATAAATGTATAGAAAAATGAATATTTTTTTCAGTTATTAGAATATATGGACGAAAATAATTTTTTACAAGTTGTAAATAATTAATTAATTTGAAATATAATAAAATTGTATTATGTAAAAATAGTTTACAATTCAAAATAATGTAATCTATAATCAATTTTATATTCTAGAACATATACTTCAACTTCCATCTATACAAATGTATTTCATGGTCGCACTAGTGACGTGTCTTGATTCGTGTTAAATGTACAAGGGTTAGAAATAAGGAATGGTATTCTAAATACAACTTTATTACATATTTAATAAAAAATGTTGACAAAGTTTGAAACAAAATCTGCTCGTGTAAAAGGATTATCGTTTCATCCAAAACGTCCGTGGGTTCTTGCAAGGTAAGTAATACATATCTTCCTTATTCATTGGTTAGTATTTTAAATTATTAAAATAATTTTATTCATATACTATAAAATGAAGTTTTTAATTTATATTAACAAATGATGGCAAAGGGTGAGATAAAAATATTTTTTATGATCTTTTACATTTTTTTATGTAAACATATTTATCTTTTATTTATAATGTCTCCAGTGTTTTTAATAATATTTAAAAATAATATGTATTATGTTACAGTTTACACAATGGAGTTATTCAATTATGGGATTATCGTATGTGTACTTTATTAGATAAATTTGATGAACATGATGGACCAGTTCGTGGAATCTGTTTCCACAACCAACAGCCATTATTTGTATCTGGTGGTGATGATTATAAGATTAAAGTATGGAATTATAAACAAAGAAGATGTATCTTTACTTTATTGGGTCACTTAGATTATATTAGAACAACTATATTTCATCAAGAATATCCATGGATTCTAAGTGCATCAGATGATCAAACTATTCGTATTTGGAACTGGCAGAGTCGTACTTGTATTTGTGTTTTAACTGGACATAATCACTATGTAATGTGTGCACAGTTTCATCCTACTGAAGATATTATTGTATCAGCCTCCTTAGATCAAACAGTTAGAGTATGGGATATTTCTGGATTAAGGAAAAAAAATGTAGCTCCTGGTCCAGGAGGTTTAGAAGATCACTTAAAAAATCCTAGTGCTACAGATTTATTTGGTCAAGCTGATGCAGTTGTAAAACATGTTTTGGAAGGACATGATAGAGGTGTTAACTGGGCATATTTTCATCCAACATTACCATTAATTGTTTCTGGAGCTGATGATCGTCAAATTAAAATGTGGAGAATGAATGACTCTAAAGCTTGGGAGGTTGATACTTGCCGTGGGCATTATAATAATGTCTCTTGTGTTTTGTTCCATCCTCGACAAGATTTAATTCTTTCAAATTCAGAAGACAAAAGTATTCGTGTTTGGGATATGTCTAAACGTTCTTGTTTACACACATTTAGAAGAGAACACGAAAGATTTTGGGTCCTTGCTGCACATCCCACTTTGAATCTTTTTGCTGCTGGCCATGATTCTGGAATGATTATTTTCAAATTAGAAAGAGAACGTCCTGCATATGCTGTCTATGGAAATGTTCTTTATTATGTAAAAGAACGTTTTCTTAGAAAATTGGATTTCACCACTTCAAAAGATACATCTGTTATGCAAATTCGAGGTGGTGGGAAAACACCTCCATACAGCATGTCATATAATCAAGCTGAAAATGCTGTCTTAATATGTACCAGATCACCTAATAATGTCGAAAATAGCATTTATGATCTGTACCTAATACCACGTAAAAGTGATTCAAACACTGATGCTGATACGAAACGGACTTCGGGTGTTACTGCCATTTGGGTTGCTAGAAATCGTTTCGCCGTATTAGATAGGGCATATTCGGTTTGTATCTAATGAAATATTAATTATTTTAAAATAACAAAAATAAGTAATTTTTAATTTTTTGTTTTAGTTGGTCATTAAAAATTTGAAAAATGAAGTTACAAAAAAGGTGCAGATTCCAAATTGTGACGAAATATTTTACGCTGGCACAGGAATGCTTCTGTTACGCGACGCTGATCAAGTAACGCTTTTTGATGTTCAACAGAAAAGAACATTAGCTGAAGTAAAAATTTCCAAATGCAGATATGTCGTTTGGTCTAGCGATATGTCTCACGTTGCTCTACTTGCAAAACATACCGTTAATATTTGTAATCGACGATTAGAATCCTTGTGCTCTGTACATGAAAATACTAGAGTAAAATCGGGAGCTTGGGATGATTCTGGAGTGTTTATTTACACTACCAGCAATCATATTAAATATGCAATCAATAATGGAGATCATGGCATCATCCGTACATTAGATCTCCCAATATATGTAACGCGAGTTAAGGGCAATCAAGTTTACTGCCTAGATAGAGAATGCAGACCAAGGATTCTTAGAATAGATCCAACTGAATATAAATTTAAATTGGCTTTAATCAATAGAAAATATGAGGAGGTTTTGCACATGGTGCGTAATGCAAATCTCGTTGGTCAATCTATAATTGCATATTTGCAACAGAAAGGTTATCCTGAAGTTGCTTTACACTTTGTCAAAGATGAAAAGACTAGATTTGGTCTTGCATTAGAATGTGGAAATATTGAGGTTGCTTTAGAAGCTGCAAGATCACTTGATCAAAAATCATGTTGGGAGAGCTTGGCTCAAGCAGCTTTATTACAAGGCAATCATCAAGTTGTTGAAATGTGTTATCAGAGAACTAAAAATTTTGAAAAATTAGCGTTCCTTTATCTTATAACTGGTAATTTAGAGAAATTACGTAAAATGATAAAAATTGCAGAAATTAGGAAAGATGTGTCTGGACAATACCAAGGTAGTTTGTTACTCGGTGACGTATATGAACGCGCAAAAATATTACGAGTGAGTATTTGTATAACATAATTTGCATTCAAGTTTTTTTTACAATTTGCTTCTTATTTATTTTTTATGTATAGAACTCTGGTCAAGCTTCTTTAGCTTATGTAACTGAGAAAATTCATGGTATATCGTCTCCAGAAGACGATATCCAATATAGTTCTATGAGTGAAGAACTTTCTGCTCTTGAAAAAGGAGCGGAATATCTCCGACCTCCTGTACCAATTCAACAAGCCGAAAACAATTGGCCATTGTTAACAGTATCGAAAGGTTTCTTTGAAGGAGCGATGATGTCGCGTGGAAAGAGTCAAGTAGCTGCTGCTTTGGCTCCAGAAGATGATAATGTTACACCTGCTGAAGGGTGGGGTAATGATGAAGAATTAGGAATAGATGATGACGAAGGTGTCGAAAATGAAAACGTTCCTGAAGGTGAAGAAAGCGCTGGATGGGATGTTGAAGATGTAGATTTACCACCAGAACTCGAAACTACAGCAACTGTGACGGAAGATGGCTATTATTCACCACCAACAAAAGGAATATCACCAACTCAACATTGGGTGAATAATTCTCAGCTAGTTGTAGATCATATACTAGCTGGTTCATTCGAAACGGCATTTAGATTGTTAAATGATCAAGTTGGTGTGGTTGAATTTGGAGCATATCAAAATCTTTTCATGAATACTTTTGCACGCGCTAGAACATCGTTTGCCTCGTTGCCGAATATACCTTCGTTGTATGGGTTTCCCCAGAGGAATTGGAAGGATACAAGTCCCAAAAGTGGTCTCCCTGCAATTGGATTGCATCTTACAGATTTAGTTCAACGACTTCAAATATGCTATCATTTGACAACTGGTGGAAAGTTTCCAGAGGCAATAGAAAAACTACAAGCGATTTTACTCAGTGTACCATTATTGGTTGTTGATACAAGACAAGATATTGTAGAAGCACAAGAATTAATTCAGATTTGCAAAGAGTATATTCTAGGTTTGAAGATGGAAACTGAAAGAAAAAATTTACCTAAGGCTACTTTGGCTGAACAGAAACGTATCTGTGAAATGGCAGCCTACTTTACACATTGTAATTTGCAACCTGTGCATCAGATTCTTACATTAAGGATAGCTGTAAATATGTTCTTCAAATTAAAGAATTACAAAACTGCAGCTTCATTTGCAAGAAGATTACTTGAATTAGGACCCAAACCCGAATTAGCACAGCAAGTCAGAAAAATTTTGCAGGTACATTTACTTTCATATATATTATTAAAACATGTTATTTAAAATTATAAGATAATGTTATATTTTTCTCTTTTTCAGGCATGTGATAAAAATCCGATAGATGAACATCAATTAGTATATGATGAACATAATCCATTTTCATTATGTGCAAGCACATTTGTTCCAATTTATAGAGGAAAACCAGAAGTCAAATGTCCGTTATGCGGTGCATGTTACTTACCGCAGTTTAAAGATACAGTGTGTAAAGTTTGTGAAGTTGCGCTAATTGGAAAACAATGTATTGGTTTAAGGATAAGTCCTGTTCAATTCCGATAATTTTTTGCTATTTTTATGTTTCAATATTTTAATGACAATTTATATTAAGTCAATACGATATTATTGTTTTGTAATCCTTTAATTATATTAAATGTGAAAAGTATTATATCATTCCAGAAAATATCGTAAATATTATGAAGAATACATGTGTATTCAATTTTTAAAAATACTTCCTTCACTAACTTACAAAAAACAGATGAAAAATATTTGTACTATTATTGTTATTATTTCATATTGAAACAGTATATATAAATTATATTTTAAAAATATAAAATAAAATTAAGGACTAAAACATTTCATTATGTCATCAAATACTCCTTATTTTTTTTTCTTTTTTTTTTTAATAAAAATGATATAAACGTGTATTATTTAATTATAGTATAATTTACATTATTTATATTGAGTAGTTACAATTAAATGATTAGGAACATATTACACATTTAAATCATTTTCATAATCAATCACATATAATCGCACAGTGTTATGCGATTTGTGATCATATTTAAGGCGTATTAGCAATAATTAAATCGTTCGAAAGGAAGCATTTCAATGAATAATCTCTATAAAATCCCCATATTAATAACAGTTGGTAATTTAGGTAATTGTGCAAGCATATTACGTAGAATAATATATCAAGGATAGTGTTTGGTTATATATGTTATGAAATTATAAACTACAATATATTTTTTTAGCATGTGCTATAAACTTCTTATTATATATTTATCATACTTAACGAAGTTATCTATACTTTATGTAATTTATATTCTAAGTATCTAGGGAAATCTTGGTGTATAGGGAAATCTTTTATTATATCGTTTTTCGCCCATTTATAAAATTTTCAAAAGGGATGAAAAGATACATTTATTTTTACAAGTACTGTAAAAGATTATATCAAATGGATTTAAATAAGAATATAATAGTAAAATTATTATTTAGTCACAATACAAATTGTACAGCATGAAAAATATATGCAGGATTGGATCATTGATGAATACTGAGTGAGCACACTAGAAGACATGAAACCAGTGCCGTAAACATCGTGAACGTAAATACACGGTGTGCGTTCTGTGTATACGTGTTACGTTACAGACGTCTTCTAAATCGTGTAGAATTTTCATGATTCTTATCGAACAAAATTCATCTGACTTTATACTTATATGAACCATATTGTTAAGTTAAGTTAATTAGTAAAAAACAATAGTTAAAGGTAGGTTATAATCAAGACGTACGATATTGACAGTGCTAAGAATATCAAGCAGTAGTAAGTTTTCGTTGGGTGTGTGAACCTTTGAAGTTATCCAAACTGTCGAATCGTGAACACCGAAGATACAAAAGTTTGAAAAAAAGGGCACTCTATCTCCGAAACCATCGGGCGTTGTACTGCTCTAGGGGTAACACGGTGGGTGCATAGCTGCGCGGTATGAAAAAATGATGTGATCGATGGTCATCATGGCGGCACCCATGCTAAAGTGGAAGCGGATCACAAATCCGTCCGGACCCCAGCCAAGACCCAGACATGGACACAGGGCAGTTGCTCTTAAAGATCTTATGGTCGTTTTCGGCGGTGGAAATGAGGGCATTGTTGACGAGCTTCATGTCTATAATACGAGTAAGTTGCTTCCTTGCTGTGCGTCTTTCGCGCCGTTCTTGATGATTCCCGCGATCCAAGATGGCGGCATACATTGACAAAACGGTCACCGGCCGGATCACTGTGAAAATGATGAATTTTGTTTATGTCAGATGCTTTATAATTATATATTTCATATATATTAAATGTACTTTCAGTGTACATGTCTTTTTAAGTTTTATTTGTTAAACATTGGGCTAATTTCATCTGTAGAATTAGTGCGATCTGTCATTTTTCATGTTTATACGCACGGGAGCGGCCATTGCTGTCTTATACACCCCACCACGATTCGCAACGCGCCGCGTTTCCCGTCATTCCACGTTCACACTTCACCCTTCCTTCTCTTTTTTCCTTCCGTTCCTATTTCTCCTCCCACTCTTTCATTTTAGGTTTTCGCATCTTTACCATATCATGAATGCGCACAGCATTTCTTTTACTATGCTGCCACAATTATACGCGTGCGTACTATAATGAATATTTTGTACTTGTTTTTTAAATGTTTTCCTTACTAATACTATTTAAATTACGTGTATAATTTATAATATAAAAATATACAAATATAATAATGTAATTTAATAAGAATGTAAAATTATTACATACATATATATACAATTATTATACATATTTAGTAAATTTTGTTTTCTTAGCTTTTTTCAATTTATTAAAATTACTTTATTAATAAACTTAATTAAAATTCCTGTTTGTTAATAAAAATTATGTAAACATTTGTATTTTTGATTAAATTTTACATAACATATTCATAAAGATTTTTTTATTTCTTTTACTTTATTGTGAATGTTTTTCTACATCTGGAAAATATAATTTTCCATAATTTAAGAAAATATAATGGATAAATTTGTATTAGCCTTTAATTTGTTTTTTTTATTTTTTGTAGCAACTAATCAATGGTTTGTACCATCGACAAAAGGTGATATTCCACCTGGCTGTGCTGCATATGGATTTGTTGTTGATGGAAGTCGTATTTTGGTCTTTGGTGGTATGGTTGAATATGGGAAATATTCAGATGAACTTTATGAACTTCAAGCTGTTAGGTGGGAATGGAAAAAATTGAGACCCAGACCACCAGAAAATGATCCACCACCTTGTCCTAGATTGGGACATAGTTTCACCCTTATTGGTAATAGAGTCTTCCTTTTTGGAGGACTAGCTAATGACAGCGAGGATCATAAAAATAATATACCAAGATATTTAAATGATCTATATACCCTTGAACTACTTCCTAATGGAGGAACAGTTTGGGATGTACCACAAACACATGGTCATGCACCACCACCCAGAGAATCTCATACTGGGGTGTCTTATACTGATAGTAAAACAGGAAAAACCTGTTTAGTAATTTATGGTGGTATGAGTGGTTGTCGTTTGGGTGATTTATGGTATCTTGATGTTGATTCAATGACTTGGCATAAACCAGTGGTTCATGGACCTATTCCATTACCGCGTTCTCTTCATACTGCCACTTTAATTGGTCATCGAATGTACGTTTTTGGAGGATGGGTCCCACTTGTTGTAGATGATGTTAAAGTTGCAACACATGAAAAAGAGTGGAAATGCACAAACACATTGGCTTGTTTAAATATAGGTAAATTGACCTCATATTTGTAATCATAATTATATGAAAGATATTAATTGATACAATTATTTTAGAAACTTGGACATGGGAACAGTTAACAGTTGATACTCTGGAAGAAAATGTTCCTCGTGCACGTGCTGGTCACTGCGCAATTGGAATGCATAATAAACTTTATGTATGGTCCGGTCGAGATGGATATCGCAAAGCTTGGAACAATCAGGTTAGGGTTAGTCTTTATAATTTATTTTTAACTTCAGAGTACTTTTACCTATCATACAGTATGATTTATCTGTTATCTTTAGGTTTGTTGTAAAGATTTATGGTACCTTGAAGTTGGTAAACCGTCTGCCCCATCTAAATTGAACTTAGTTAGAGCTAGTTTACAAGCATTGGAAATTCAGTGGACACCAGTACCATCTGCACAGTACTACATACTACAAATACAAAAATGTAAACCTTCAGCTACAACTGGGACATTTCCAGCAGTTAGCACTCCAACAAGTACTGCAACACCTACGACGACATCAGCAATGGTTACTCTTGCAACTGATTCTGCTACATCTTCGCCTGTTACTGCTGCTCCCGAGCTTCCACAAACTCCAACCTCTGTTAGACCGTCCATACCTCCACAGACTCCTGTTCGAGTTCAATCAACTGTACAAAGCCCAGTTCAGAAACCAGTACCATCACAAAGCGTAACAAAACCATCGAGTCCAATGACACCAAGAGTAGCCGGAAATCTTATTAGAATTCGTTCTCCTTTAGTTACAACAACACCAACAGCAACCACTGCTACTGAACAAGTTCCCACTTCTAATACTACAGTGGCAGGCCAAACACCAGCTGCTATGTCAGGAATTGCTGCCTTAGCAGCAGCAGCAGCTGCTACTCCGAAAATAAGTATGAATAATGTACCAATTCTTCCACAAACTACGGCTAATACGATTAGGATGAAGAACGTTCAGCCCGGCCAACAAATACGATTTGCTGCACCTGGGGCAACAGTATTAAGAACTGCTTCACCACAACAAAGTAAACAAATTATTTTACAAAAACCAGGTCAAAATATATCTGGTCAACCCCAGATTGTACATCTTCTTAAAACAGCACAGGCAATGGTAGCAACTGTGCCTAAAGTAAGCCTCATCCCAGGGAAAACTGTCCAAGCGACAGGTGCAAAGCCACTTAATCAGGGAGCGAAAATACTGAGATTAGTAAATCCTAACACTGTACAGGGATCTAAAATTCTTACAACTATGAAAACATCCAATATCGTAGCAATGAGCAAAGGGCAAAATATTAGCGGTAAACAAACAATAATGATTACTAAACCCGGTGGTAATGGTGGACTAGTTGGTCGTAATCAAATAATAGTAGTTACAACGGGATCTAATTTAAGAACTATACAAGCCGTTACTACTTCTCAAGCTGGTAGTGGACAAACGGGTAATATTACAACACCTGTAAATGTTTTACCCTTATCAGCTACTAACCATGTAACAAATCAACAAGGAGTAAAAATGATCGTTGTGTCATCCGGAGCAATGGGAGGTGGAACTACTGGAAAACCCATCACTATCACAGTTCCAGGCCAAGGAGGTGTTCCGAAAACAGTAACTATTGCCACTAAGGGAAGTCCACAAGCTATCTTTAATCCTGGAAAGAGCCAGATTGTTACTATGCCACAAATACAAAAAACGCCAGAGACTGTGACAGTATCTGGTAAACCTGTGACATTACAAATGTCTGGTGGAATAGGTGCAAAAACGGTTACTCTTATGCCTACAAGTAGCACAATTGTTACTACTTCAAGTGCATCAGAGGGAATAGATACAAGTAAAATGTTATTTGTTCCGTCACAAAAGCAACCATCAGCTTCATTAGCATCTACATCAGATGGTCCTGCTACCACCGATGCAGCATTGGCTGCATTAGCTGCAGAAGCAGGTTTAATAGATCCAGTTCAAGAGCCTTCTGGCGATTTGTCCTTCATGGTATCTGCAGATGATGGTGGAGCAGGAGATGGTAAAATGGAAGATAATTGTAATGGTGATGAGACCACTACAGCAGCTGCTTTGGTTTCTCAGATGGGAGCTGGTGAATCAATGCAAATTGATAGAGATGGTAACTTTTTAATTCCTCAAGTTGATGGTCCAGCAGATCTCCTTCTCTCGGATGATGACGAAGAAAACGATAAAATTGATTTAGCAGAAGATCCGGCATTAGAAAATCAAGAAGATTCGCAAGTTGCAGATTCTGCAAGTATGGAGCAAGATACAGATGCTGCACCAACAGAAGCTATTCATATGGAAGAATCTTCTATAAAAGACCCAGAAACTTTGTCAGAAGGAGCATCTGAACTTCCTGTTTCCACAAGTGTGTCAGAAGATATTCCAGTCGATCCAGAACCTTCTGTCGATACTCAACCAGACGAAAATGAAATACCTATTGAAGTTGCTAATGAATCAGAATCAGTAAATGAAAGTGAGATGCAAGACGTAAATAATGCATCAGCTGAAGAAGCACAAATAAAGGCTGAAATTTCTAGTATGCAGGATCCAATAGAAGCTTCATCAGAAGAAGCATCCATGCCAGATGCTATGGAACTGCCAGAAAATGATGAAAATGAACAAATTGAAAATAATGATATAAAATTAATGGCAGTAGACACATATGTTTCTGAATCTGATAAACCATCTGAACATTTATCACCCGAAGATAGTTTATCACAGCTTTCTCAAGAAGATAATCAGGTTGTAGAAAAAATCAAGGATGAGACTGAAGAACCACCAATGGATCTTCCTGAAGGAACTCCAATGGAAACATTAGAAGACAATGATGAACCAATGGTTACAGATTCTTGTTCAACTCCTACCAATGTTAATATTCCAATCACAACATCTATCATGCAAATAAAGTTAGAACAACCCGATGAACCAATGAAACAAGATAAAATACCAGAAAAACCAACATCATCTATCAGTAATGTAGCACTTCTCGAAAAAGAAATGGATATTCAGAAACCAATAGTTCCAGTAAAAATGGAAATAAAAGACGAGCCTATTAAAAAAGAAAATTTGAAACAAGAAAAAATGAATGGTACTAGGACGGAAAATCAGAACAACCAATGAAAATAAAGGCTGAACAGGTGAAACTGCATACCGTAGATTATGATTTATGATTTGTACCTTTTTTTTCTAATATAAGTATTATTTAACATATTATTACAGACTGAAAAAGAAAAGAAGGAGGAGGAATGGTATGATGTAGGAGTAACGCAGGAATCAAGATTTACTGTACAACATTATTACTTACCTGGTGATGAACCATTAGATATAACTCAACCATTAACTATGGATGTTTTTGAAGGAAGAACTAAGGTTCCCTTAGAACAAGGAACTATTTATAAACTTAGAATCGCTGCTGTGAACAGTTGTGGACAAAGTGATTGGAGTGAGGTAAATAAAATAATTGTAAGAGCACATATTAAAATAGAAATATGTAATTTTATGTAATATTTAAAAAAAATTTTGTTTAGGTATCAGCATTCAGAACATACGTTCCGGGATTCCCCGGAGCACCTAGCGCTATTAAAATTAGTAAAACGGCAGATGGTGCTCATATTTCATGGGAACCACCACCTAACAGAAATGATGGACCCATTTTGGAATATTCTGCCTATATAGCAATGGCGAATACTGCGTCAAATAATAACGGAGAACCAAAGACAACGTCGTCGAATTCAAACTTAACATTCACAAAATTTTATTGCGGTACAAATAATTCTTGTTCGGTATCTAATAGTTCTCTTAGTGCTGCATATGTTGATACTACTCGAACACCGGCCATAATATTTAGAATAGCAGCACGAAATGTTAAAGGATACGGACCAGCGACGCAAGTTAGGTGGTTACAACAAGGTTAGTTCCTCTTTCTCTTAAATGAAAAGATTAATTACTCTTAAGTATATTATAGAAAATTATAAAATATAAAATTTTTGACTAGCATCTGTATCGTCATCAGATCCAACTAATTTTATGGAGAATAACCCTCAAGTGAAGAGACGCGGTGTAAATATACGCTTACAAGCAAGCTCCCCACAGAAGAAGGTGAAACTAAAAAGACCAAGTAGCTAACTTGTCGTGAGCCTGTTTTTCCTTGACCTCTTACAGCCCAAATATTCAAACAGCGCTATTCATTATTTAATTTCCGCTGGTACACACGCCTAACAACGACGATGAAACAGTATATTCTTCGAATAAACGATGTGACATGCGAGTAAATGAAAGAAATGAATGCACGGTATAGAGCGATGGAAGAGGTATCCATAGCTACATTGAGGTATAAACATAAGGGTTAAAAAAAGTATTTTAAGTGTTCTATATATGAATACAAGGTCTTTCTATACTGCGTTTTCTGACTCACCGTTATTCTCCTATTCCTTCGCGAATGCGCGACATTTTTCTGTAAAGATAACGCGAGTACTGTTAATAAATGGTAAGGTGGTTATTTTGAAGTTAGTCAAATTTTTCCACGTTTATAAATGCTTTCTACGAATACCGTAACATACCAATGATACTTGCATCAACACTTGCATTATTTCACACGGTATATGTAATTTTGTCTAAATATTAACCACCTTAATTTTTATTTTTTCTTAGATAAATTTAATATAGCTACAAGTTATAATAAAACGGTGGAATAAAATAGTCCATTGATTTGTACGAAAGCTTTGTTTTTAACAAAAGCTTTATCCGAATTTATTTTAAATTATTCGTACTTTGAAGTTTTTTATTGTTACTGGCATATATGTACGTACAGATTTTCTAATATTGAGTGGAAGTATGAAAAACTTCTTATTACATTTAAATATTTATTGTAAATATTGTAATTGGAAATATTTTCTTTTAATTTTGTTTATAATTGTTTATGCTAAAATTTTTTCGAAATTTTGCAACGCGATGCAAGTGTAACAAAAATTTTGTTAATATCATCTTTTTCTGTATAGAATATCGGTGCTACATTTTATTCTCATTACTTTTGTTACTGCCAATTGCAAAAGAAAATATAGAATCAATATAAGAGAAAGGAGCACATAGTATAAAATTGTTTTAAATAAAAATTTGCTTTTGAATTTTTTTTATTTTTTTCTCAGCATTAAAGTAAAGATATTTTGTAAAGAAAGGGAAAAAATGTAAGTTTGTAGATTTACACGTATTATTCGTGAAAATTACAACTTGGTTTCAAACATGTTGATATTTTGGAAAATAAAAAATTTGAACAAAATTAATATTTTTATATGGCAACGAAATAATTATTTGAATAGTGTATCATTATAATATATTATGTCTAATATAAAGTTTAATCTTTTAATATACTAAGTCAAAAAATTAGTATAAACAAAAAGAAATTTATAGGCAAAATAAATAAAACTGTCACACATTAATTTCTTTAAAGAAGAAATATATCAGTTCTCTTAAGCATAATATATTTTATCTGAGATAATAAAAAAGCTTTTAAAACCAAGCTTGGAAAATGTCAACAGATTACAAAAAATTATAAATATGGTTCATATGAATGATTAGGTGGCTTGGGGCTATGTTGAATCTGTAATAATTTAAGCGCACATTTTATTTTTAGATTATCAATACAAACTTTTTGTTATTTGCTTGTAGCTTAAGCATTAACATAGCGTTTTAAACCCCTAATATGTTATGCTAAAAATTTACATTAACTATACCTTATAAACTAGCCTATTCGAAATGTGTTAAAAGGTCGATAAAATCTTTAGAACTAATAACTTTACATAATTTGACATATTATTTTCGATTGTAATCATTTTTTCGACAAATTCTCACTGCACGAGATTTTGCGTTATAGTTATTCTGTATCTTAAAATATTTTTATGAACAAGTGATAAAAGGTTATTAGTTCATCTATCTCGTTTTGTAAGTTCTGTTAACAAGAAATGACACTAGACCGTACTAGAATATCAGTTCACAAATATTATACACATTCTGCAAATGAAATATTTTGAAATGTACGTATACGTGGTATGATATTCTGTTCAATCCAAATGTATTGAAACAATATCTATAATATTCAAATATATTAAAAGGAAGTATGAATAAATATAGAAAAAAATATCTTACATGAAATACTCGTTATTTCACTGTAGCAACTTTTATAACGTGAATGTGTACTTACACTGTAGATACATGCATCTTCAAACTAACTGTAACTATACTAAAATTACTAAAAAAAGGAACGTATTAAACTTCATTTTATTATACAAGTGAAAGTGTCAATCTATCTGTTATATACCTGAAACTTGTTAACAAATTTATAGTGTATACATTTCAAACAATCATTTTTTAACTTTAACACGAAAAATTTTGGTTATTTATACTTTAGTTTTCGGGATAAAATAACAATTTAAACAATTTAAAAAACAACAAAAGTAGTAATTTGAATACTATGCCAAAGCAGTTTATTCCAATTTTTACTATAATACTCGTATAAATAAATTTCATGACATTTTATTTCAATATTATATTCCGCGTGCTGCCTTTCTATTAATCATTCATATCTCTTGGCAGTAACGAAAGCAAATATCATACACACACTGAGTTATCTTTTTCCCAAGCTAATTTATTGTAGTAAACGGGGCAAGTAAATGAGTACTGCCTAAGACTTAGAGTGTAAATCGTGTTCTCTTGCAGTAAGAGAATTAATGAAGTAGTAATTACACTCATTCAAAATGTCAACACGATCTACATCTAAAGATCTTAGATAGTATTAATCGTAAGGACGTGAAACGCCTGAAAGAATTCTTACAAAAAAAAAAAAAAA